GCCGTCAAAACGGGACGGGTCGGCTCTCATATTAGCCGCCTGTGCATGGCTGCAGACGACGGAAGCGTGGATAAGACAGCGACTGGCGGGAAGAGCGCGCAACGGGCATCTGCAGTTGATGACTGGGCGCCGTTCGCGGATGTAACGATATGATTGGATTATTATTATTTTATTATTTATTGAGACGCTGCGCCAAGTGCCGGCAGAATCGACGAGTATCAAAAAAAGGCTAAATGCATTTGCCATTGCTTGCCTTGCCTTGGCTGGCTCAAATGGCGTCCAGACATGCAAGTGGCTTTAGAATCTTTACCAGCGCCTTGTAATTGGCCCCTTTATCTCGTTCACCGTTGCCCAATTAAAGTAAGTTTGCAAAGTAATTAGGACGATTATGTGGCGCTCAAGTATCAATAAACGGCAATTAAACGATTGCGATGCGAGCATCGATTGTCTTAGCTGTGTTTTGCCACTTTCTTTTTCTTTAACCCATTTCTCTTTGTGCTGGCTAAATGATTGCTTTTGCAATAGAAAATTATAGACAAAAGTTGGAAATAATGTAAAGCGCCTTTCAAAATGGAAATTGTGGAAACAAGAAACTTATCACCAGGTACGGAATGTAGGCTGATTGAATGTTACTATATATAAATATATCCAAATAAAATAATATCAGGTTAACACGTTACACTGTAAGTTCTTTGCCTGTAGTTGTTTATTATTGAATGACAGCATATTTTTTATAGATATTTTGTTTTATCTTATCAGATACCTTGCGTTTTATAATTCATGCTAGTCTCTGTCATCGCCGTCCGGGTACATGTGAACCTGACTAGATAGTAAAAATGTTCTTTTAATGAAATAGCATTAAAAGCTGCAAGCTTAACGGTCAAAGAAAATCATTCAATAAATGTTGGCAGGTTTCTTAACATACACATATTTGTTGCTCCATATAGCTTAATTAAATCCGCAGAGTTCCTTTCACATTTTGAAATTTAAAAGTGGCAACGAGAACAACAGCAACAATGGGAATCTTGCAGTCAGAGCACTGCATCAATCAACTAACTTTTGCCCCTTGCTAATGAACTTCAATGCGCATCCACTAATTTGAAAGTCACTCAGCTTAATCCGCAAAATGTAGCCACGCCCCCGACTCCGCCCCATATGTGTACACACGCACACACAAACACACATCGAGCTAAGTCAGAGATGTCGGAGTTAAGTCCTGGCAGTGCCAAAAAGTTAAAATTTAATCTGTGTGGCAAAAGTTGATGAAGAAACTTGAACCGTTTTGAGTGTGCCACATGTTGATGTGAATGCACACACAGACACATATACATACACACATATGCACCCTTACACAATCACAGATCTAAGGTCCTGCATGCATTTTGCAAGCCATAGCTCATTCGCTCCCACACACACAAGCACACACACACACACACCACAGCTACTGTGTTCGCTTGTTGAAAATACGCTCGCATCATTGGGAAAAGTTACGCGCTTTTGATTCAACTGAACCCCCCTGCCCACCATTCAATACCATTTTCACTATAACGTACACACCCTAGGACCGTAAAAAAAGGAACAAAATAATAAATAAATCTTAGAGCTTTAGTGTGTAGCGTAAAATTATGGGTTTTTGGGTTGGGTGGGGGGAGGTCTGGGAGAATTGGTGCTAAAAAGCATTTGTTATCGCTGTAAGAACATAAATTCACTTTTGTAATTATTTCTCGCATTAGTTGCTGAGGTGGCGCTCCGAAAAGTCAGTCAGCAAATGCGCGCTGACCAAGCTCCATCATGGCCCCCTAAAGATGCTCGGAAATGAATGGACGCTGCTCGGGATTATTTGTTAAAGCACATAACAGTCGACTGTTGTTTAAAAAGAGCACACTCACACTCACTGACACCCACACCCACGCAAGCACCCGCACACACATGGAGCCGCACACTCTTACACAACTTTAAAATTGAATCAATCATTCTCACTTTGATGCACATCAGCAACAGAAGCTGCCCCAACTGCTGCTGCAGTTTTAGCCAAAGAAAATGCTTTCTGCTCTATGTGTGTGTGTGTGTGTTAGTGTAGGGGAGTGCGGAGTGTTAGGGGTTGGTCTGCCTGGAAGCATAAGCTGTAACTATAAACAAGCAGCTTATGTGTTTTAGACGCTCGCTCTTTCGTCCTGAACGTCATTCGGTTGCTCTAGCTCCATCTTTGCACAGGGTGTTAATTTTTGTTGGTTTATGAAGTCGAATCTTTGTTGTTGTTGTTGTTGTTGCTGGACTGTGGGCCCCTCTCGCTTAAACACTTCAGGCACAGCAGCTGTGCGCAGTTCTAACGAGCAAAAACTAATAAATCCCCACGAAAGCGGCTGCGGAAACGGAAGCCGTGTGTTGCGCTCTGTTTTTTTTTTCCTGAGCAACTAGAAATACGAGCCCAATCGCAAGTCTGGAGTCCCAGCTCAAACCCTATTCATGGAAAGGCCTATCTACCCGTGTCTGTGATGTGTTTTCTTGCTTAATTCTTATTATTATCCCAGGCATTATTATTATTGTTGTTGTTGCTGTTAGCGACTGTTGCTGTCGTCTTTCACAGATTTTCCTTAGCTTTATACCCAATACATTTGTATATATATGTATATATTTTATTTTTTTTTATTTTTTGGGAGCTTCTTTTATTCATTCGCTTGTTTTTCAGCACTTGTCTCTCGCCTGCTTTTTGTTGCCCGTGCACGTTCGTGTTGCTTATCGTTTGCTTGTATTATGATTGCCGTTGCCATTGTTCAGTGTCGTTGTCGTTGTCGTTGTTGTTGCTATTGTTGCCATGCAATAGTTCATTTTAATCTACAAACAGGATAATGCAAGAAGGATTTCGTAATGTGGCCTTAACGTTTTCTGCGCCTTCCCTCAGACATTTCCCTTACACCCACTGGTTCTTCCTTTTCATGCTTTGTCTTCTCTATCGCCTGCTTTTTATTAATACATAACTCAGCGATTTGCACCCTCCATTCTTGCCTGTTGTTTCCGCTCTTCCCGTTTCCGTTCCTGTTCTTATTCCCATTCCCATTCCCTTTGCTGTTGATTGCGCAAACTTTGCTCTGAACTCTGAAGTCGTATAATAAATTTCATCACTGCTGATTGCTTAACATATTTTGAAGCTGGCTAAAAACTTTCGGCGCACTTAAAATAATAGTTTTTCACTTTCCTCCGCCTCCACGGTTGCATACTAGGCCAGCGTCGCTTATTGCTGGCTGTCTTTATTGTTCTTTTTGCAAATATTACTAATAATAGGTTTATTAAACCATCTGCTTTTCAGCTTCCAGTTTTAAATTTCATTTGCTTTGGCTTTAACTTTTTAAGCACCCTGTTTCAGAAATTTATTGCCAGCATAACAATTATTACAGGGGAAGACTGCAACTTTGAGTCACGTCTGCCACAGCCACATTGTGGCCCTGTTGCTCTAGAAGCCGAGCCGATGCATGTTGCTAAAGTTCTTCCGAGAATTTTAACTAACCATTCCAATTATTATTCTGTTAAAAACAGACATTATCTGCATATTAAATTAAGTGAAGCTTTATCTGGCAATTTAGTTCACAAAACATCTAGCTTAACCATTATACTAACTTGAAGAGGGGCCCCATAGAACTCGCAGCAGACAGGTAAAATTTCATTGAGAAGAAACCGGAAAAACGGTTCTACAGATTGACTTACAGAAAGCAAGCTGAGATGCCATACAAAATGCATTCAAACTAATTATAAATTGTCTATTTAAAATATTTGTATACCCTGAGCCAATTTTATGTAACAGGCAGAAGGAAGAATTCTCCTCATTAATTATATACATACATACATTTTCTTGGAAAACATTTAGTCATTTTATTCTCTTATGCCATATTCAGAACAAGCTTATTATTATTCATTTTTGATATCTCCTCCCATATGCATTATATCTATAAGTATCGATTCTTAGATTTCTTCGGCATAACATAGCACATACAGATTATAAATATTTATTTTTCTGGATATTTCCCCCCTTCTGTCCATTTGTGAACAAACTTATTCTTATGCCCGAAAAATTTCATATAGATCGGACTATAAACACCGATGCTAGAATGTTTCTTAATGCAGCTCGATGCGTGCACTTCTGATTGGAGGAGTCTTATTTGCTTATAATATACCATGGAAAATCATCTTAAGTTTCTAGTTAATTTTTAGAGAGGCCAAGCATTGATTTCTAGTCGCTATTTATAACGCAACTAACATACAATAGTTTCTTACTGGGTGAAAAAAAAAAAACAAAAATATATAAAAGTTGAAAACTTTTGCATGTGTGTGTGTGGAAGTGTGAAGCAACAAAAATCTAATTGCACACAAAATGAATTGATGTCGTTGCCAAGCGAAAATGAATGGTTGGCAAGGGGAATATGTATTGGGAGTGGAAAGAGGGGACAGACACCGACGGAGACTACGCTGTTGAGGGCCCTTTTTGGGGATAGCAGCTCGAGTGTTTTATTAAGCGTATGTATCCAATTTCGTAGCGGGGCTCAAGTGGCCAAAGCGCAACACTGTCGTCGGAAGGGGGACGAGGGCCGGCGGACGCAACTAATTTATGGAGCTCCATTAAAACTTGAGTTCAATTGCCAAAAATTTCATAAAAATTTTATTTAAAAAGCAAAGCGAAAAGCCAAACAGAAAAAACAAAAGCAAAAATAATTTATATATTTATATGTGTACATATATATATGTGTGTGAGTACATAAGAGATGCGCAATCAAGTTTATTACGAACTCGGAGTCGTCGCCCAAGCGGCGCCAAAATGTTGACCCCCCTTCAAGCTTTTGCAAGGCTGCGCTTTGGCCATGGTATGTACTGGCGAGACTCGGCCCGCTGCGCGCATTGCGCTGTTCATTTGTGCAAAAATGAAATAAATTTAAATATATTTTTAGTGCATTTCGCATAAAACAAAAAGATGCCTCACTGGGCTGCTGCTGCTCCCCCCCCCCCTTCTCCTGCCGCCAGCTGTCTGCCGCCTGCTGGGTAGCTCTTGGGTGCTCGTTTGCTAAGCCTTGGGCTGGATCCTGTTTCTTTTATTTTCCGGCCGTTTGCCGTCTCAGCTTTTCCAGCGCCTTTTATTGTTGTAGTTTTGTCGCAGCAGCCACCCAGCAGCGTCTCTGCCTTTGTCTCTGTTTACTTATTTACTTTTGCGCTTTATTATTCTCCATTAACTTGACAAAATGAGCAGAGCAGGAGACGTGGGCATCTTTAGCTGCTGACCGCCTATTGGCCGGCTGTCCCGGCCTCCAGCTTCATGTTGCCCATTTTCGCTCATATAAAATTCAAAAAACTAAGGAAATAAATAGATAAAGCCCACGACAAAGTCTCATTTAAACGCAGTGCTATGTGGTCCAAAATTTCAGAAAATGCAAATCAGGCTCTGCAATGAGCCAGGTACACTGGCCGGCCTAGTTAAAAAAATAAAAATAAATAAATAAAGAAATCCACATAAAAGGGACAAATTCTCATACCTTATATACGTATGCTTCGTGTTTATAGACTTTTCTGTCAATCAGTCGACTCACCTTTGGCTTAACTTTTTCTTCTGCTTTGACATAATTTGAATTCAAACGCAATCCCCTCGTCACACCAGGCAAAAAAAAAAAATGCTCATTAGGGTCATTCAGTAAATTTTCAAAAATTTGCCGCAATTCTTTTGTTAGCAACAGGAACTTGCCATTTATGCTCAGGACATCTTTTGGGGAAAAAGGCTTAAAAACGAGCTAACAAAGTCCTCCCATTGGTGCTGTTGTTGAAATTGTTGTGAGCGCTTAGCGCCTTAACAGAGTTTCTGCTCTGATTGCATTAAATTTGAGTGTTGCCGCCTCCGACTCTTTGCCTTTGTTGGAGGACGAAACACTTAAGCACAAGCAAAGCTTTGATAAATAAGCAAACGGATTTTCCATTGAACATATGCTAACTCTTATGACAAGTACGTTAGTACTGGGGCAATCTCAGGGATTAAACCAATTATCCGCTGAGGCACTACGGTAGCTCTTAGCTTCTAACTATCGTCCTCGCTAGGCTCTCGTCTTAGTCCAATTGCCAATGTTACGTAAATACCACTCAGCGTCTAGTATGAGTGGGTGAGCGCATGCATGTGTATGTGGCCAGCTTTTCAGGTTTAATTAGCTGACGGCTAGCTATCTTGGTCGCCACTTCAGAGTGCCCCCTGATCCCTCTTATCAAGCAGCCAAGCGCATTCCATTTCCATTCCGATCTCAGATCCACAATTTGCGCGCGGCTCGCATGTTATTTTGCCTGCATGCACCCAATTAAGAGGTTTGCCCTCTGCCACGCCTGCTTGTACGTTTTCTTTTTTGCTTGTTGTTTCGGCGGCGAGGAGGAAGGGCTGTAAGATTTTAAGTGAAAAATACTCAGCGCAATTTTACTTATTTAGTACGTAACTGCAATTTACGCCATGCATCTGCATATAAAATGCATTTTTTTGCAGCTTTTTTTTGCGTTGCGGAGGGCGGCCCGCCCATTTTTTACGCCAACTTTGCACACAAACCCATACAGCGTTATTATTTATATGTCTATGTATGTGTGTTTGTGTGAGCACAGGACCCCTTATTTTTTTATGTACTGGCTACTAGCCTTGCCAAAAAAAATGGGAAAATGCAAATAGCATAAAATACAATGCTGAAGCGCCTCCTCAGGCTCCTCTCAGGCTCAACTCTCGTTCCGTGTCTCCCCAGCTCGAACCCCCTTTAGCTCGACCGCTTTTTCACTTAGCTCCTTGCTGCGGATTTTTGTATATTTAAATGCATTTTCAACAAGCACACACACGCACACTAACTCACACACTCGTACCCCTGCCCAGCACATACCAGAGAACTTTGCATACTTTTGGGCCCACAAAAAATCTTGCCAAAAGGGTTCGCATTGGCTTTTTTTGGTGCCTGCGCTTCCTTAACATTTGATTAATGAGTGCAGAACGCGTTGGCAGTTCATTTTTGGCGCACTCAGGACGGCTCAAGGGGATAGCATCAGTCGCTGCGAATATTGCGCATACGCAGGATGGGCCCCATCAGGCAAATTTTGCAATTACGCCATCATCGATTGAATGGAACCCAAATGACGGCAACTGACATTAAATATGATACCAAATGAACACAATTTGAGAGAAAGCAACAGTTCACTCAAGGCTTGCCGCAACAAGGAAATTAATTTAAACTCGACAAACCGGCAAATTTAAGATAAGGAAAAGAAAGAAAATATATACCAAATACTCGCTTCTTCTGCCGGTCATTCATTATGCTAAGAGATTCGCAAATCAGCTTCAATGTGAATGCTTGAGGCTTCAAGGGCATACACGACATTCTCGCTTTCTCCTGGTCGCCGTGTATTTCAATTCAAAGCCAATACTCGGAGGGAAGTAGTCGGGAAAGTAAGCAGCGTTGTGGCCACAGTCAATGTCTGCTCAGAAATTGAATTGTAAGTAAGGCTAGAAATGCCGTCGCATAAATATGAAAGCAAATAAAAAACATAAACTATGACCCTCCGCTCAGAGCACCGTCGACAAGGCAACGTCAACAGCAAAAGCACAGGCAGCGCTGTCAAAGTCTGCGCCACAAAACGAGGAAGCCCAACATCAATTCTGGGATTAAGGACACTGATTTGATATACTTTTTATTACCATTAAGTATAAGTTGACAAAATGCCGCCACAGCGACGATTTAATGGGAAGACCCACCAGCCATCAGGCACCATTCCATGAAAAATATCGAGCGTTGAAATTTAAAGCTTACTGTACATTGTACTCGCACTTTATGAAATAGAATCGGCTCTCTGCTCTCCAGTCATTAGCTGCGCACCATTAGCGCCGGCGACAGTCAAGCAAACCCTCCCCGATCCGGCTTCAATCTTTGGCCCCACCCACAGCGCTCTGGCCCAAAATCGTGGCTCGTTATTATGGCTGATAACATTTTTACGATGCCGACAATGACATGACATGATTTTTTCTCTTTCTTCTTTTTTTTATTGTATGCCTTCTCTTTCGTTCAGTACGTTTTTTTCTTCTGTTCTCCTCTCGTTCTCGCTCTCTGTAGCGCTGATGTTCTCTGTCAGGGGACAAAACGATTTTTTATGCTACCAAAATGACTCAGTTTTATTGTGCCTCGGCCACATTCCCTTTACGTTTTTCCATGCGCTGAGATTTTCATTTTTAAATCATTAAAAATGGCTCATAAATTTATTGTTAAAGTAGCCAAAGAAGCCGTCCCAGCCAGGCCCAAAATATGCCTCGTCAAAGCTTATGGTGCCAATGTCGGAATTGCCCAATAATATTAAAGTTTAGGGACTTGCTACATATTTTCCTAGTTGCTAGTTTTGAATGTTAAAGAACATAATGAAGAACAAAAACATTCTCCAACAAGATGAGTTTCAAATGCTCTGATATTCATTTTTTTAAGTTTTCAAATGTTTCCAAAAATAAAAGTATAAATTGTTCTTTTTATTTCGAAGGCTTTTTCAATTATTAAATTGAATTGCTATCTTAATCCGATTAAAAGGGTTACTCGAAGCAGGGGCCTAATTAATTGAAGCACTGCTCAGCGAGCATATTGAAGTACTAACTAAATATGTGGCTAATGCATAAATTAGCAACAAATTATTATAGTAATAACAACGAAAATAACTGTAAGTGCAAATAATCTGGCAACCGTCGTGGGGTGGGTAACATGTGTATTAAATATTATGTAATTAATTGGCATTAAACCCCAAACAATGCCCAAACAAAACCAGCAACAACCAAAGGCTCAAAATAAAATAATAAAAGCAAGTAAATGCGCGGCAGTCGGGAGTGTTCGACTAGGAAATGCCCTGTGCCCAGCACCGAGATGCGAGCATTTACACACACGCATGATCTCCACAAGTTGCGCATTTTATGTTCTTCAATAACTTCGGTGTTAGTTGTCAGATCTTTATAAAATTAAGTTTATATACCTAGTATTGTGTTGTTTACATGATCAACAACAAGAAGTGATGTAGAAGGACCTTCTGTTCAAATATACAGTCTCGTACATTCTCTGATATCAACACAGTCAACATCAACCTTTGCACAGACCCTGCTGTTGATCAACAATATATTTATATATACTTCAACTTCTGTACAAAAACGATATACCCCTTTTACCTGTTTTCAGTGGGTTCAGGGTACAAAAAATCCATACCAGCCACAATATTGAATATGCCACGAGTGGCGATTACCTCAGAATTATCGAGACCCGGCCCCACTAATTCTGAGTGCTTTCATGTTCGGCTTATGTTTTATTAATGAATGCGCGCTTGGGCATACGTGTGTGTGTGTGAGCCTGCTTAATAAATAATAAAAGAAGGCTTTGCTGCAATTATTTTAATTACGCGCACCAAATGGTCAAGCAACAAAAACAACACGAGGTACCTCCAAGTATGTCTGAAGAAAAAAAACTGATTGCATTAAAGAAATAAATAAAAGAGCTGGTGTCGCAGCACGATAGCTGCAAGCATTGCGATTAAATTCTGCGACTAAAATAATGTGATTGAGTTCTCATTCCTTAACCTATACACTTGTACACTTACCACAACTGACTTTAACCATCAATTACGTCTTTAACGCATGTCTCCTTATTTTAGTCGAGAACAACTTTGAGAAGTTTTAAAAAAATAGTGAAACTCATTTAAACCATATCAATCAAATAAATAGTAAATATTTAATATGCAAATTAGATATGTATAAATGAAGTTTAGCTTTGAGAAAGGAAAGCTGCAGTCCATGGCAAGCAGTGCTTGGCACTTGCTTAACTTAACACTTAAGAAATTGAATTGATGAAATTTGAAAATTAATGCTATGCGTGCTTGCATTGCTTGACGTCCTGCGTTTGGAATATTACAATTAATTTTAAATTACTTAGGAAATTAGTTAACATATAGTTAAATGTCAAACCTCATTTTGTAATAAGCACAATTTTGGTTTTGGCCAAATGGTCACGTACTCGTCGTCTGTGACAACTGTCGACATCTTCAATCAAATGTCAGCGTCAGGCCATGGGACGTCATGAAGTGCCTGGTAATTGCCAAACTAAACCACAAAAACTCACACATACCTCCATCCATTGTGGGCCGATGGTGGGTAGGTTAAATGCGTCATCAAATCGCCTTTGCATGACTTTGAGCCACTTAATGTTATTTGCATCCCATTGCGGCTGGCGACAAGCGAAGGACATTGACGTCGCCAGTTACGACCCGTTGCATATGTCGGTCAGGCGACAGAGCGACCAACCACCGACTCACCACCGACCCACCTCTCCAGAGTCTGAAGCCTTGTCGGTCTGCACGTCATTATTATAATTTCTGTATTTGCACAAATGTCGCCTGGCGTCGCCAGCCCGTAAATTGCAATTGCCAACGATTATTGAATTTAGTTAAACAACGCTTGTCGTGGTCGACACTCGGCCCCGCCACGCCCCTGGCCGAGACTGCAAGCCAGTGCTCGAGCGCAGCAGTCCGTAGTGCACCCAATCATCAGCTGCTGTATGCCTGTCAGTCGACGCCTGTCGCCAGGACATTCCGTCGAGCAGGACGTCGCCGGCTCATTGCAGCAGAACTTCCGGTGCGCTTGCGTATCAAAGTCTGTCCGCTTGTCTGATTGACTTCCGTTGTCTACGTTTGTCAGTTTGGCCATTTTGGTTTTGACTCGACCCGGTCAGACACACTGACAGACCGACCGATAGACAGACAGTACGAGCCGCAGCCATCATGAAAGTAAGAGCGAAACAGAAAAACAAACAGTGTGAGAGAGAGAGAGAGAGATAGACGGATTGATTGAGGCATCTGCTTCAGCTGGCTGGCTGGCTGCTTTCTGCACTTATTTACACTTTAAGTGAATTGTTTGCTTGCGTTTTAACGCAAATGCAATTATGCGCAGCCAACATCGCATTCGACGTAGCCGCAGCTGCAGCTGCAGCTGTTGTTGTTGTCAGTGTAAATGGCCTTCTTGTTGTTGTTAATGTTGTAGCCATGCAAAATGTGAAGCGTGTTCTTACTAATGTTTGACCATTAGTTATTGTTGTTGATGTTATTGAAGTTTCTCTAACAATTTCCCATTGCTATTTGGCGAATGGCAACACTGAAAATCAGGGCAAACCTAAATACTCAGCTGCTGCCGTAGTTCTTACAAAGTCTTATTGTCAAGTCGCCAACTGAACTTCACACATGCATTCGATCGCCGAGCAAAGCCGAATAAGTTATCTGAAACTTGCATTTATAAATTGGAACTCTCTACCTGACAGATGGCTGCCTCCAATGTGTATTATTAAACTATCATGAAGCCAAAGCTAATTGCAGTTGCGGCCACAATTACTTCAAGAGAATTTAAGAATATGCAAATGCAAAAAAATTGCAAACGCTTTCAGCAACTTTTAATTAACTGCGAGTAACCGCGGCGTTAGACAGGTGGTAAGCGAAGCGGCGGCTGTGTGTAGTATCCTAGGCAGCCTGCAATTAGCGAGCAGCGTCCGTTGACCGACAGACGCTGAGGCAAACGCTCACAATTCAGCAACACCAACAGCAAACAACAACAATATTAATAACAACAACAGCAACAAATGTAATAACTGAGAGTAAAGCACATGTATGAATAGTAAATTTAATTTAATCAGACCTAAGCGCAGGCATATTTGTTTTTGTACATATATATTGCTAAGTACATATATATATATATATGCATATACATATGTGTTCATGCATAACGTATAAGCCACGTTGCCCGAGCAAATATAGAAACCGTTCAGCACAGGCGGCTCAGCCTAAAGGTTGACTTGGGCATTTTCGCTTTGTCTATAATTGTTGTCAATCGGCAAAACTGTCTACAGAGCTGTAGCAACAATAACACACACACATACAGAGAGACACAACATCGCAACAAAATGGTCTGCAGGGTCTGTCTAATTATTTGAAGCCACTAGAGTGGAGCTGTACGCACACCCACAATGAACACAAGCCAGCTGCCCATCGAGGCGTGCAATTTGAAGCTGACGTTGTCCGAGTACTAATGAATGGTTGCAATTGGGGGCGGAGTCATATATATACAAACAGATACAATTAACGGCTATTAAAAGCCGCC